ACCGATTTCCCTAGGTAGACACCTCAAGTTAACGCACTGTGAAATATCAAGGTATTTTAACCCATTAAGCTCGCCAATGCTGGGGGAGCATCTTTAGCTCCGGACAAGCGTACAACCTAAGTATCTGTAGTTTCTTGAGCATACCCAAATTGGAAGGCATTTCTCATATTCGATGGCAGTTGGTTATGCTCAAGCTCTGGAGTGAATTCACCTCACAAATGCTCCCTGGCAAGTTAATTAATCATCGCAATGATCCATTATGAGTTCCGATAAATGAGGGAAGATCAGGGCAGGTCCACTGATGAATTAAAGCTGTTATTAACCTTGCAAAGAACCATAGATAGTTTCTGCAAGTTCTTCAGGGGAACAGTGGGGTTGGTCAATTGAGGAACCCATACTTTTTCAAGCCATAGGCTCCTCAAATTTGCCAGGTTGGTGAAGACTGAAAAATTATGAAGTATCGCCTCTGTTGTACCATAGTTGATGACAATGAGTGCCCTAAGCTTGGGCATGTCATCTATGAAAGGAGGCAAGAAGTATTCATGGAGGAAAAATTCAGTACGAGTACTTCAGCCTTGGGAACTCCATGCGAAACCAGTCCATTTCCCTCATTTCTCCTGTCAAGTGATTAAATTTCAAATTAACGAGCAAAAACACAGTAGGACAACATGTTTTCCAATAGAAATACCATGCAAGCTATGGTTTAGGTGAAGGTAATTAGGCAATCTTATTTAATGCAAAGCAACAGAGACTAGTCTATCATGATACCTGTATGAACTGAAACTATCTGAGCATTGAACGGTTGATCTGTGTTTCTTTCCCATTCTCTCGGGAGTTCTGCATCTCTTCTGGCATAAGCACTGCTTCCGCTCATTCACTTCCCCACGATTGCTTAGATGAAGAGCAAGGTCTCTCAGCACATCGTGTTGAGTAACACAGATGTCATAAAACTACTGTATGAATCCCCAACCCTGCACAATTCATTCAGAAAACAAAAATCAGGTACATCGACTACTAACTAAAACCAACCCAAGTTATTGCTTCAGAAACAAAGAAATTTCAAGCAACATACCGTGCGTCTTTCACCAAAGTGAGAAGGTTCTTATCGGCAAGCTCAACAAGAATGGCAAAAGCTTCCTCTCATCAATGTCATGTATCTCAACCCACATATTAATGAGAACATCGAGGGGAATTTTCTTATCTTCTGGAAATGATCCCAAATCCAAGAAACATTCCTTAACCTTCTTGTTCAAGTATTCCACGCTTATTGCCATCCGCTCCAGCAGCTTGTTTTCATGGGACTCGCATATCGGTTCTCCTCGCAATAACCTTTTCTTAGCACTAGCCCAATACATTTCAGGTTGGTCTCGCAGCGAAGCTCCGATTACTTTAAGTGCCAGAGGAAGTCCTTTACATTCATTACAATCTATCAAATCCAGAATTTAACAACCATTAGCAAAGAAAAAAAAAAGATCAACGAAATAAAGAACATTAATTAATCCTTGAAGTTAATTGGTTACCTGCTTGACCAAAGTCTCATTGGCGGTAGGGGGGATGAATGTTTGCCCGAAAGCAGAGTGACAAAACAGGGACATTGATTCATCTTCCCTCAACAACTCTACTTTATAAACTTCATTGACATTTGCTGGGAACTTAAATCTTGAAACGACCAGAGTTTTATATGTAGGGATCCTAAATATAAGTTGTTCAAGCACGGAAAGGGACCAGACATCGTCCAAAACACCAGAGTTCGCGGTCCACTTCCCCACTCACACTGTAACTTCCCTTGTGGAACAAACATGTTACTGGTGTAACCCATGGCCTCGTTTCCTGTAAGAAATCCCCATATTCTTGCCCTTAACTGTTGCACATCCGGTGATTGTGATACAGTTAAAAACAAAATTCTGTCGTTGAAGTGACCTTAAAAAAATGAAAACAGAGGCAATTAGTTCTACCATAATCGGCCATTATCAACAGAAAAAAGTCGACAAACCTTATTTGATCAATTACTTACATCAAGGAAAAAACTTACTTCGAACTTGATTATTACAAATTCATTGGCCAACGTAGTTTTCCCTGATCCTCCGATACCCCAAATTCCAGCAACGTTTAAATCATCTCTTCCAATTATCATCTTTTCACCTTACTTTTCCCTAAATCCAAGCCGACTCCACCGATAATTCCCAAACTAGCCTCCTCTTCAACTTCCATTCTCTTAACCGCTTCTTCGACCCCCGCTCCGATCTTCATCGAATTGAGCCTCTGCTCCAACCGACCTTCCAACCGGTCGAACCGCTCCATCGTTTCGAACCGCATGTGGTGAACGTCGGCCAACAAGTGAGCCTGCATCGGCCCGCTAACGACCTCGAAACCTGTTCTCTAACTTCTCCATCTTCCTGGCCAGCTGGAGGTTCTTGTAGACGTTCCAACGGCCGGAGGCCAGGACCTTGCGGGCCAATTCGAGGCCGCCACGCAGAGTCTCGGAGAAACGGTCGAGCTGAGATTGACGGATGGCGGAGAGCTCGACGCCGGAGTACTTGATTTCATTGACGATGGGAAGGAGTTCTTCGATGCTTGTGATGAGATTGTCCGCACTGGATTTGCAGAGGCAGGACTTGCGTGAGATGGCGAATAATTGTTTAGAAGTTCCGCCGCTATTTCTCCAGCGAAAAAGTCGTTAAACGCCATCGACGTTACTTGGATCAACTTCTAACCAGCGAGAAGCTGTTCGTGAGTATCCTAAGTGGCGGGCGCCAATTTAACTGCTCCAATCGTCGCTCCTCTGCTGACTTTCGCGCTTTTCTCTATGATCGATCTCTTTAGAGATGGGAGTTTATAGTAATAAAAGAAACAAAAGGAATCTCTTTAAAGGAAAATGCAAAACCCTTTTATTTATTATTTTTAATTTGTTTTTAGCAATTAAATTCTGCTATAATGTTTTAATATGATTAAAGAAATGTATTATCAAAAATATTATTATATTTTTTAAATATTTCCGATAAAATGACCTAAAATATTTTTTTTACCTAAAACATTAATGTTTTAACATTTTCATTATCCTTTTTCATTTTGATAGAAAAAATCCCATTTATTATTGCACATTCCAGAATCCACCCAATCCTGCATTTATCAAAACCCAATTTCAGCAACACAACCTCCAAGAAACTCCACTCGCACCTAATAAGCCTTCATCATGTCAAGCATAACAGCAGCTTCAATTTTCTTCCCTTTCTTCCTAAGCTTCAGGTAATGAAAAGCTCTTGAGCAATAATCACATTTTCATGAATCTGCCTGTTGACGACAAAAGCTGTTTGGTTCTCTGAAATGATCTCCCCATTACCTTAGAAATAACCTCGTAGGAGAAATTGAAAAGGTTGATTGGCATTACTGTGTCAACATTTCAGGATTGGGAACCTTAGGAATGAGTACAATTTCAGTAGCATGCATTAATCTCATTGACTGCTTGACATTAATTACACGATTTAAATTCCAATGAGTATGTAAAAATTTAACTCTGATTTTGTCAGTTTTCAAAATCATATGCTACGTGTACTAAAAAGTTTAGTCTATTATATGTCAGTCTTGTGTCTTTAACCCTAACTATGCATGATGCCGCTTGCGACTAGGTCCAAGCCCATAGAAGGGCCAACATAAAGCCCCAGGGCTCATTTTGACTTGGCCATGGATGTTGAGTGCCTTCTTGGGAAATGTTGCCCTTTCACTTGATGCAATCTAAATCATTCGGCTCAACAGCAGGCAGCAGCACCAACAACATCTAACCTTACCTACCCATATATCCACAGCCTCTATAGAAAAAACTGGAGAAGCCAGTTTTTGCTAAATATCTACCGCAAAGAAACCAAAAATTTCCTCAAATATGAATTAATGGTACTAATATATTCACGCTTGAGCTTGTATCTTGTACGTGTCTTACAAAAGTATGGTATATTGTAACAATAATAAGTAAAGGAAACAAGAAACAACAAATATGCAGTGTTGTACAATTCAATAATTACCATGATCCTAGTTAACCACAATACTATAGCTCTATAATTAACTTTATTTCGCTGTAAGTATCATTGTGGTTTCCAGTCTTTTATTGCAGCTGTCCTGGTGAACCTCCAATGATATTACATGTCTTCTAGTTTGAGTCTTGTAGATTTATCCTACTCATCATACACCCATTCAGAAATACAGTTACGACGACTTACTTGGTCACCTGCACCTTGTGCTAATCTTGAATCAGCAGTTCAAGTTGCTTTCTAATCCAAGGAGGATCATCGGGATTCAACCAGAGAGCTTCACCAGTATCTTTGTGCTTAAAATCTGGCTGCGATGGTTTTTTCTTACTTTTCCTATTGTCCCACCATTCGAACGGGCTGGTAAAAAATACTTGCCACAAGTATAGTGTGCTATTATACCTCTCCATACCAGCTTCACCTAGATCTTTAGAAAAGAAAAGAAAGACAACATAATAAGCATGGAGCGAATGAAGAATCAAAAGCCTCAAAGCTGATAACCATTGAAGATTGTTATTATATACTTTGCAATGTTTTTAAGATCTTGGACTAAGTCCTGCAATTTCTCAAAATAAGACATTGAGACATCATTCCACCTAAGCAGTCTGAAAAGTACCATATAAACTCAGCAAAAAAGAAGTTTCAGATATGATTTCACAACAAACTGAGAAAATTGCAAAGGCGGAAAAATTTAAAAAGATAGAAACATTTCTACCTTGTTCCGGTTCTAATTCCTCACATTTTCGGGTGGTTGATCTTTGACCTTGTTGGGAAACAAAATTCAACTGTGTCACATTTACCTGCAATAATGTATCAAATGAACATGCATGTAAATACATCCTTCATATTTGCATAATCAAGAAGGGGTATAAATCCATACATTGAAACAACATCATGTTAACTCCATAAATGCATCATGTTTCAAAAAAAATAACTGTACCAAAAGAAAGCAGGGCTTGTTTTCTGAAGAACCTGGTATATATGAGTTGCTTATCTACATTAGCCTGAGAAAAAGAAACCAAAAACCCTGAAACATAAATAAAATCCCCAGGCTTCACGTGCTCCATACAAATTCCCCATCTCGTTCCACATTCTCAACCTATCCTGTTTAAACTCACAATTCAGGCATTAAAGCTCCAATAAGGTAGAACTTTAAAAATAACTAAGTAAAAAAATTTACTTGAATCTTCTATCAGAATCACTTGGATTTTTACAATGAGCCGAGTCCGAACCCCAAACTTATCGCTCTTGATATTCATAACCGTGAGAGGCACATCCACTGTTCCTATAAAGCTGATGCGATTTCGCGACCCAGGCTGCACTTGCACAGTCGTCGGCCGCTGGAATTTAAGTGACAGCCGGTAGACCGCGCTACCTCCTTCTTCATCGCCGTCGAAATGATTTGAGAGTCTGCGATTTGAAATTGCGGATGATATAATGAGGTACGATTTGGAAGGGGAAATTGGGAAATACGTCTGGCGATTAACGCTCCGATACGACGGATGATCATAAATACAACACGTGGAACTGATAGGTGAGCCCCGACGAGATACTAGAGAAGTGAAAATCGGCTGGGGTTCAAAATGGAAGACTGGCGGGTTTTCCTTCTCTGAGAAGATGGTTCTGCAGACAAAGAAGATTATAAACTTCTCCAAAAGTCACGTGACACGAAACAAGAGATGGGTTGTTTTCACCTAAATATCACGTATTGGGGCAAAAACCCCTAAAGGTCACGTGATTGCATTTTGTAGCCTCGCTAAAGTTTGGATAAACTACACAAATAATATTAATATTAAAATATATTTATTTTCCGTAATAAAGTTTTAACAAATAACAAATTAGTTTTAGTGTTTATTGATAATAAATTGATCACTCGACGTTAACCACTATTAACGTGGATGACAGGAAGTTGAGTTAGATCGTTAACCACTTACTTCAACCATTAATCGTTTACTTGGCCTGGTAACCGATTATCTATTAGAAAAGAAGAGATATCTCTCCACAATCCATCACAAAGTTAACCATCAAAACCATTTCATGTTCACTCCAACACCATTTTTAACAATGTATATGTTTGAAAAAATTGGGAATTTGAACTCTGAACTACTAAATTATATTTAAAAACTTCTAGAGGATATGATGAAAATTTACAGCCAGTTATAAACATGCTGCATGACCACTTCTCAGGTAAATCAATAGGCTTTATGCTTATTGGAAGAAGGCGCTACTTCATGCACCTATCACAGGAAACCCAATTTTCTTTAATCAATACAGGAGCTGCAGTTCCAAGGGAAGCACCAACAGCATTCATATTACCAGAGTTGGAAGCATCCACAGCTGCTTCAGGGTATGACTTCCTTACTAGTAAATATTCACTTTTCTTACCACTTCGTCTGTCATTATGTGCATTATCTGTTAATGTCATTATGTGCATTATCTGTTAATGTCATTATGTGCATTATCTGTTAATGTCTAGTAAATATCCACAGTTGTTAGGTTCTTCTTGCTCTGATTCTATATCTCAAAAAACAATTATACCTATCCTCAGCCTTTTGTTTGTTTTATTGTTCAAATGGGCAGTCAGCTTATTCTTCAGCATAACAGAAGAACAACCCTCATTTTCTTTTGGCACCTCAGCAGCTAAACTGCCTTGACCATAGTTGTCTGTTGATTTATTTTTCCCACCAAAAGAGGCATCTTGGCAAAAGGCAATGTCATATTGTCTTAATCATGCTACGTTTTTTTACTGCTCTTCTTCCTAGGAGGATCTACTGGTTCGCTCTTTAAGACTTTACTTCTTTTTCAAGTATTAGACTCGGCTTTGACAAGATCACAAGTGTTTTATGCTTTAATAGACTAATCTTTTCTCGCAAAACCTGAATTATCATCAAGAACCTTTCGAGTTGAACTAGCCCATAGATTCTCCAATCCAATTTTTGGGCAGGTATTAGCTCCACCGGCTCCTCCTTAGCTATTTAATGGACACCTTTATTTCTTGTCATGCTATTATCTTTTACTTTGTCAACAGCAGAATGTTTCCATTTTGTGTATATGAACCAGACACAATCCACTGAAGCACTTATTCTTTGCTTTGACATCAAGAGACCTATTCTTTGTCATTATCGGTATTGTCGTCCTGTCGTTGAAGAGTGGTAGAGGAGAGCAGACGATGGAGTTTGAAGAAGAAAGAGTGCCCAGGGTGTTTCGGAGCTCGAGGATGACTTTAAGTGAGCAGTGATAATAGAAATAATGGGTTAAAACAAAAATAACAAAATGAGATTGAGTTTTTATTTAAAGTTGGGAAGGGGATGGGCTAATAGGCCCAGCAAGTAGTTTAGTGGCCCAACTCAGCTTTCCACCATCACATTATCGAATGTTGATACATAGCGTCAATTTATTACAAATTAATAATATTAGTAATTAATTTGTTACTTTCAAAACTTTAATAAAAAAAAATAAAAACTTACTGAAACATTAGTGACTATTTGTACAACTTACTCTTAAAGTTTAACAAAAAAAACGAGAGATATGTTTGTTTTCTTTTAGTTGGTTTTTTGAAAATGTTTTACTCATTTTCCAGTGTTTGGTTGGTAAAAAACAGATGGTCAATGCAATTCATTTTTCTGATCAACTTAATTTCCTTTACATTTTTTGGAAAATGACTTATGGTCTGATTCTCCGTAAGTCATTTTACGAACTTTTCACTTCAAAACATAAACAATTATTTTATATTTAATATTAATATATTTTAGTATTATTTTAATAAAAAATTAGTTATAAAATTATATTTATTAATAATTTTAATAATATAATAATATAATTTTTTATAACTATATTATAATATACAATATTATACTTTTATTTCAATAATATATAATAAATTATAATAAAATTAATAAACTTTATTAATTTTATAAATAATATTATTAAATATTTTTTGGTACAAATATTATTAAATTTTTGAATATTTAAAATATACTCCTCAAAATAAAATAATATTTTTATTTTAATACTATAATTTTAGTATTTTAATAATATTATTATTTTAATAAGAAATTAATATAATTAATAATATACTATTTATTGTAATAAATACTTAATATAATTTAATAATAATTTTATTTTTCTATTTATAAAATTTTATATAATATTGGCATAAATAATATTAAAAAATTATTTTAATATTTTAAAATTATTATTATTATTTTGTTAATAAATAATATTTTTCGATGAATATGTGTCTCTATTTCAACAACAACCAAAATAAGCTATTCATGTTATTTTGAGTTCTAAAAAAATATTTAAAGAAAACAATTTTGTTTTATGGTTCTTTAACATTAATTGATAAATTTTTAATGTTTTTTTTCATAAAAATTGTTAAAATAAGCTATTCATACAGTAAATAAAAAATTAATATTTTTACATAACAATTTTAAAATATTTTTACTCTTTAAGGTATAAAATTTATTTTCATATCATAAAAATATAAATAATTAAAAATAAATATAAAATAAAATAAAATTTGAATTATAAACGATTCGATTTAATGAATTTATTTGATTTCTTTAACCATCCCCACTTAAAACAATATCTATATCTAATACCAACTGTTTCTGTTCCTTTCTTCATAGACAATCTCTCTATACCATATACCATACTCTTTTCTTCTTCTCAATCAACTCCTCTACATCATTGCTAGAATTAAACCCCTAACTTAATTTCATCGAATCACATATTCCCCCAAATTTAGGGTTAGGTTTTTCAAATAGAATAATTTTCTATTTCACGGTTCGATCCAAAATCCAAAACTATAAACCACGCAGATCATTGCTCAGGAAGGAAGAAGGAGAATGAATCTATTGAAGGAGAAAGAAGAAAGAGAACGTAAAACTGAAGAAAGATAAGCAAAACTGAAAGAACTTCTATTAGAGAAAGCTTAGCTCATTTAATAATACAGGCAGAGAATATAGACTTAAACGGTCCATATAATCGCCTAACAACCAACCTATTCAGTTGGAAACTACTTTGACAGTTAAGGTCTTATATAACTACTCTATCACTTCTCATAGTGTCTCGATGCTTACTTCTTTTAATAATTGTATTGACTCAAGTGCGATAAAGTGGAGATTTACTAGTCTATATGGTTATCCGTAAACTGCTAGAAGAAGGGCAAGTTGGGATTTATGTGATGTTTGTCTCAAACAGATGACTTGCCATGGGATTTTATGTGAGATTAATATTCTGTCTATAAATGACGCAATAGGGACCTACCGGCTCTCCTAGTCTTCATGTGCCTAAACCGGTTAGCAGACATGGGGCTTAGACCCCCAACATCAACGGGACACTGATCTTCACCACAAATTTGATCCATACAATTGTACTCCAAACGCTGTTTTAATGGCATTTGTCAGTAGTCTTGGTTCTGGACCTTCTAGTGGACCCTGGGAAAACTGATTCCTCATCATTCACATTTTTCACAAACATTCTTTCTAAAGCTTTAATTACCCGATACGTGTTTAAAGACAGATTTCTGAACAGTTGTAAAAATTATACCAAAGTTTCAACGTTTGGACAACCTACCTGCAACTTGGTAATGAAAGAGTTTGATTGCCTTAAAGTTCTTGTTCACATATCTTATGATTGATTATTGGATTCAGGGGTTGCAACGACATATTGGACCTCTAAAAGCCTGAAAGAAACAGCATGGAAAGCTACTTCTTTTAAATAACTTGCTTTCTCGCCAAACCCACGTTTAAAACTGCATCCCTTCATCAAAAATAATATAGAACCCCCCACCCCCAGTTGCTGTGATGTGGGACAGGGCTTGATTGAATCAATTTCCAGACAAATGAACCCTCTGTCTCTAATGCTATCTTTTCAATCCTTCCCAAAATTTTCCAGGTAAGGTCCAGATACATTGAACTATGGGGTATAAAGACACTGCGGAATTTGCATGCAGATAAGATGAAAATGTGTGGTTATCACCATGGTTTTGGCACCTTTTGTTTTATGTTGCTTCCAAAGCTAATTTGATTTGAGGTCGATAAACACTTACCAATCAGTGAGCCAGAAAGGGTAATGGGAAGAGTTCACTGAACCTGAAAACAAATGCTTTATCCAAATGATTTGGAGATGATGTGAGGATGAGTGCTGCTTTTGAACAAATTGAATTTTGGTTTCGCTTTGCATGTCTTTCGAGAAAAAGTAAAGCTTTTGAGTGGTTAAAGAGAAAGAAATCAGTTTTGTTTTGGTCTACAGCTATTTCCAATTTGATGTAGCAGGAAGAAGTAGGAAGCAAAGGCAATTAAAAAAGTTGGGTTAGCATCAATGATAGCTTTTGTTGAGGTGCAAAACAACCAGCAGCAAGCTTTCCATTTTACTTCAAACAATAACATCAGTGGTATAGTTTTTTTGCTTTTTCCAAGTGCTCACAAACAACACTACAAATCCCATATTATTTCCATTTATAATTCAGAACCACTACCCCAGAACTTAAACAAAGGGTTTTCACAGCAAAGCATTTATTTATTTATTTATTTTATGGATAATATCTCATGTCTGAATTATTGTTGTTTTAAAACTGAGAATCCAAAGTTTTAGAGA